CGCCTCGCGATGAGGCTATCCCTCAACAAGGCCACGGGATAGGTGCAGAGGGGAATATCCCTCAATGTCGCGGTAGCCGATGAAGACCTCACCGGGGGTGAGCCTTGACCGCGTGCTGCTCGCGCTTCATATATATATATATCCTCTTGGGAGGAGAGGATGCGATGGAGAGGATGCTCGAATGAACGGTCAAAGTGCGAAATCCAGTTAATACGATCGAGGAAGTTGGAGAGGGGTTGCGAAAGGAGGTGTATGATCGACGGCATATACAGGATTTTTGTTTTTTTTTCTTTTTGGTAAGATAAGTGGTGCTATAATTTATCAAGCGTTGCGCGAATAAAATGGTGTATATGGGAAAATTGATTGAATATTTTATATTGTACGTTGAATGACAAATGACACAAAGGATTTCAAAGATTTCTTGATTTTATAAGGAATACGCGTAGAAAATGAATCGTGTTGAATTACGATTTATGCAGTTTTTTCCCATTTCGCACAAACTTCATTTCATTATTAGAGATATGATATATTGGATAAAGTGCTTACAACGACGTTTATCTATTATATTTGAAAGACTTTCTACGTAAAAAAAAGTTATATTACAAGTTCGACAATTCCATCTTTACCACTCGCGTGATTGATACTTCTCTCGCAGTTTCTAATTACTTTATATTCTTTTTTGATATAAAACAATTCTATGGAAACCTGACACTATGGGATTGATAACTCTATTAATTATTTCCTTCAATATACACTTGTTATAAAACTTTCTATCGCAAAAAGCTGACTTTCTATTATTATCTTAAACAAGTTGAACTACGATTACTATATACGTCATTAATATTCCCTAACACTTTATTACATCGATCATTCTTCTCATTTGTAATTGTAAAAACAAGTTAACATATAATTGTACAAATTTTACAATATTCGAAATAAGAATCGTGAAAAACCGACCATCGATTTCCCCAACAACTCGACTCATTCGACTCGTGGTATCGGGCCACTGTGAAAAGGATCGTAACTAATCGAACCAATTCACCGATTGACAATCGAGGAATCTATTAACCATACGAATTCTGACCGATGTACACGTCCAAAGCGTTAATTAATCATACTGGTTAACCGACTATCGTTTACACCAACGGTTTACACCGGCTAACATACGTATATACACGTTGGGACGTGCGTGAAATTGATTTAAGATCGACACGGTTGTAAACAGTTATTTAAACGGAAAGAATATCGGGACTCTTCCGAAGGTGCGAACGAACACCTCGTTACGGTGTTCCACGGTCTGTGAAAATGGAAAATAGTAATGTTATATACGGTTATTGCGAGACAGTTGCAAAACGTCCCCCCGGCAAAAATGCCACCGCTAATCACGACAGATCGTCCGATCGTCGGGGCCTTTCGGCGTCGTGGCAATAAAATTGGGTATCGCAACGCGGCCCAAGCTGCAACTCATCGGTGTACACTCATTACCGGATCCGTGGAAGTAGCAGTAAAGTGTACGAAGTAATTCAAACAGAATATAGCCAACATCGACGTGTCAGTCGTTACTTTAGAGGCGAACCGTGTCTCGTTTGTGTGGCGCAATTTTACAAATGGCGTGAAATACGTACGCCATACGGGGCGGGGACGGGATTGGAAGAGTGTTAAGAAAAAAAGAAGAGAAAAGAAAAGAAAAAAAAGAAAGAAGGAAAAAGAAAAAAAGGACGTGGAAAGAGCGAGGCGTAATTACGAATAAAAGTTTCAATTAGCTCTCTCGGGCTAAATGTGGTCATCACGGTTGCCGTGATTCATAGGCCATATAAACTGTGTGTGCATAGCCAGGGCGCGTATACAACGTCGGGATCGGCGAAGGATGATGATGCTTACCACTCTACCTTTCACTTTGTTTTCCCGAGATACCTCGGCTAAATATTAACCTCCGTGACAGAGATGCTTTTCCCCGTGTGTCGCGTCCCATGACCATTATCGAACGTTATACAGCGTATGAAAATTCATACGATAACCGCTTTCCAACTCGAATATACAGGGTGATTTGGAAATGCAGGAAGAGACACTTGAGGGGTTGATGCGATAAAATAAGTAGAAATATTTATTGTAGTTATCCGATTCTCTTG